AAAATGTTTAAGAAGCTTCATTTAAAATTAAATTAAAATGCAGAGCCTCCAGGACCGGTGGCCAGGACCCGGGCAGTGCGAGTGCCACTGAAAATCAGCTCGTGCCATAGGTTGCCTACCCCCTGTTGTACGACTGCATGGTTTGACTAGATCTTCTGTTTTAACAGATATCCATCAAGAATGAAATTCACCTCAGCACAAAGGGCCCAGGATCTGCCTTATAGTCCCTCTTAAGCTCTATTTTAAGGTTTTATGTGGTGCATAAGACCTTGTTCATGCTCTCTGTGCTAAGGTGAATTTCTCTCCTAAGTAGGTTCCATTGATTTAGTTCGGTACATTAAAATATATTCATTCAGCATTAGTATTTTTTTTTTAAATAATAGGTCAGATTTTTTGATATAAGACAGATGACAGGAGATAGAGCCCTGCACCTCTAGGTCACAGGTTGAAAACTAAACCACATCAGTAGGGACACAAAATAATAACCACTTGGTGGACAGTCATGTAAAAATGAACTGCTGATCGCAGTCCAGCTCTCCTGGAGCACTGTCCATTTCACAGGTGGAATTTTGCTAGCAGCCTCTGTAGAGAGACCAAGAATCAAGCAGACATCCAGAATGAGAACTGGGCTACTGAATCTATTAATGAATTCAGACCAAACTGGCAAATAGTTCCAGCTACATTTTTTTTTAAATGAAGAATTTGGTTTGGTTTGGTTTGGTTTTGGGGCGGGGGGGAGGAGAGAGGGAAATTTTTAGAAAAATGTTGATTTCATTGACCCTAAAAAAAATTTTTAGTTTTTTCATTTTGATGAGAAAAACTAAAAACATTAAGTTAAGGTTCAAAATGAACCAATTTTTCAGTTCAGCCACTGAACCGAAAAATGAATGATTTGTTCACCTCTGTTCAGCACAAGCTCCACTCTCACCCCTACAGATCATGCCTGAGACATAGGGGTAGGGCAGTGTTGGGATGATGGCATTGCTGATGTTCATACTGGACCTGGTCTGTGCATACAGGATTTGGTCCTAAGCCATTGAAGTCAATGAGAGTTTTGCCATGGACTTCAGTGGGATCAGGATCAGGCATAAAATGAACAGTTTCCATGGATTTCAGTTCAGCATGTTGCCCAAGTATTACATTTATCAGGTATTATCCTGAAAGGGTTCCATTGTATCTGTTTGACTTGATGCAGAGAAAATGTTTTCTTTAAAGTGGGCTCTAATGAGTTTCACCCTGGACAAAATGCCAACATCAGCAGCCCCCCAGTCAACGCATGGACATGACTTTTTCATCTTAATTATTTACACTTTCTGTTTTGTAACTCCAACATAACATGACAGTCTATTTTGGAGGACTACATCAGCCATTATATAGGTGCTTAAATTACACAATCTTCATCTTCACAATGCACCCCAAGGCAGTAATATGGTGAAATGAACTGCCTTTCCGTGCTGGTGCTTCATTACTGTCAGAGTATATGGGAGAGGGAGAATCCTAGCTCATTCACAAGTGATGTGAATGTAAATGTTCAATTATGTTTTGAATCAATCTGTTTAAGAGATAAAGAATCTTAAAATGTTAATTTCAATACACACATTGATCCTGTTGTTAGGATTTTGCCACTGATTTCAATGGAAGACAAATTGGGCACTATCCAACTATGTGGTACAAACTAACAAGATCTACTGGGCCGACATTTTCAAAAGTGACTAGTGATTTTGGGTCCCTCAGTTTTTGGATGACAGTTGAGACATCTTAAAGGTGCCTGATTTTCAAAGCTGGGCACTCAGAACGTTCTGAAAACACGTCTCAAACTAGACACCCAAAAATGTGAGTACTCCCAAAATCACTAGTCACTTTTGAAAATTTCGGCAATTGATGTTTTTAATCAGTGATTAAGAGTATTCAAAAATAAGGCAGGAAGGGACCAAGAGAAAAACAGCAATGTTCTCAACAACAAAAAATGTTCCTTCTCCATATCAAAATGGAGAGATGCACATTGATGGTATCCTTTGCTGAGCACTGATGTTAATTATTTTTGCATGTACCAGATGGTACTACCCCAGATGAAAGATCATAAAGCAGCACTGAACCTTGTAGTGTCTCTGAGCTAAAACTAGTAAATCCCAGTCTCATTAATTATTTCTTAGAATCATGGGAGAGAGTGGGGAGGGGAGATATAGATGATAAAGGATTAGCATTAAGAGCTAGATGTGATCTGAAAGAGGGAAAATATTTTGGTAATTAACTATAAGCTTCAAAACTAAGTAGAGCTGGTCAGGAATTTTCTTCTTAATCTTTTTTCAATAGAAAATGCTGATTCATCCAAACCAAAACGGTTTGCAGGAAAGGCTTGGTTTTGATGATTTTTCAACGAAAAACAAAAACTGAAAAAAGTTTTCAAATTGTTGAAATATTTTGTTTGCAAAATTTTAAATTAGAAATTCCAGTTTTGTTTGGACTTTTCACTTTGAAATGTAAGATAATTATATTTGTAGTAAAAATTAAAAAAATAGTTGAAATCACAATGAAATTATGGAAACAAAATGGTTTCAATTGACCCAAACCAAGATTTTGATTTTTCATCCCAATTCAGGGCAGATTTCCCCCCCCCAATATCTCAGAAGTGCTTACAGCATGAGAAAACCATTTCCTGCCCACCTCTAGAACCAAACAGCTGCATAGCTGTCACGTGGAATGCTCAGATAGGGCTATACGGCTGGAAAATATAACTCATTTTGTTGATCAAAGTGTTGAGCACTCAGCCACTGAAAATCAGGCCCCTTTGAGATGTCTCAAATAGAACACCCAAAAAGTTTCCCACAATCACTAGTCACTTTAGAAAATCTAAGCCCTATATGTACATATTCCAGCCAATTCTGTCAGTCTGTAATGACATTACTATAGATAGTGCTGGATTTGAAGTCAACGGCAAAATTCCCGGGACTGGACTCCATGAATGTATTGAAATGAGTATCCCAAGATCCTCCATGTTTTACTCAGGCAGATTAAAAAAAAATTGAACATTACATTAATTTCCCCTCAAGAATGAACGAAGGGCCCTCCTACCCTAAAATTCTGGCAATAATGGTGCAATAGGACATGATAGGCAGTATATTTTATGGGGAATATTACTGCATGGTTGGGGGGGGGGTTGAAGGGAACAAGGCTGAAGGCTAGGTAATCTGGGCACCTGAACAGTGGCTGAAGTGGACATCTGACACAGCCTGACAAAGGCAATATGTTTCAGGGGGAATATTCTGCTGCTAATGCTGTGTAGCTTTTTATCCCTGCATCCATCTCTGAAGTGATCAGTAACAGAGCTGGTCAACATTTTTAACTGAAAAAACAGCCTTTTCAAAGAATGAACTTTCACTTTCAGTGTGGTTAAGGTCAATAATGGTACAAGCTGGAAGCAGCCCTCATAAGCATCCAATGTAACAGACATTCAGCCTGCTCAAATGAGCTCTGCTTTATCCCGATAGGGTAATGCCCATAGACATCATAATACATTTGTTGTTGTTGGTTTCCAGCCTTGGGGTGGCATAGCTATAGTTTTCATTGCAATACTGGGTGAGGTTCAAAGAGAAAATGCTGACGGCATGTAGCAGGTTTTAGCCTCAACACCTTGTTCGTTCGATCTTTCATTACAACTGCATAAATAACTTTCACTCATTCTCATACGCATAAGATCAAATCATGAAATCGGCTGCACGCAGGCAGACTCCTGCACCCACACAGAAGCCCATGGACTTTAATGGGGTTTTGTGTGGGTGCAAAGTCTACAGATCTGATTGTAGGAGTGGGGCTTTAAATTTCAGTACCTCAACAGGGAGATGTGTATTTACTCATGTCAAACACACTGGAATCTGACAAGAAGTTTCCTACATACATATTGTTATATTTGGCTTTGAGGGCAGAGACTGCAATTGCATGTATAGAATTGTATTTAGCTTTCTCTGTGTGTGTCAGGCACGTACACATGTTATGACCAAGGACCACAGATAGTGTAAACTAGTGCAGTTCCATCAAGTCAGTGGAGGCAGACTGATTTATACTAGCTGAGCTTCTGGTCCAATATATATCCATAAATATCAGCGTGTATAGATGTTGATATTCCCCTACTACTTTCAACTTTCACTCCATCTTAATACACGTATCAGTAATTCAGGGTACAGTACATTAGTAATAATACTACTTAGCTGTTATATAGCGCTTTTCATCAGTATTTCTCTTAATAAAGGAGGTGAGTATCACTACTGAGGCACAGGGAGGTGAAGTGACTTGCCCAAGGACACATAGCAGGCTCGTGGTAGAGCTGGGTGTTGCAATTTACCCCCACGCCTTAACTCTGCCTTGGAATGATACAATGAAATAACCATATGATGATGATTAAGGCATTATAGTGTTTGTGGTTAAACTTATTTTTAAAGTCATTAGATTCCCCCTATCACCACCTTTACAATGTCACTCCAGGGCAGAGTTAAGGCTGTTTGGATGCCCTAACTATACCTTTCCATCCTTAACATCATTTAAGTGTCACCTGAACTCTGATTTTCCTGGGTTTGGGGGAAGATTTGCTGTACTTTTTATATTTAACAAATGGTTCCCTGCTTTAAGTGCAAAACTCAGCTCAGCCTCGACTACGGAACTCTGAGTGGTGCTTCCACAATATACGCAGCCACACTGGCAAAGACAGACTCTGTAACAACAGTGGAGCACTAACTCAGCATTATCATTTTGATTCATTTGTCGACGTAGCTTCAGGAGAAAATACTTACGGTATCTCAGGCATAACAAAAAGTTTTATTGACAAAAACAATGAAACATTTTTTCAAGTATTATAACCATCAAGTGTTCCTCCCAACTACGTTGGTTAGAAGCTTCACCCTATCAGAAGTAAGCTGTGAACTTCCATATTTTTACTAATGGAATTTTTTTAAAAAACCCTCAGAAATAACATTTTGTCAAATGCAATGACCAATTACACAATGTTTCCATGCAGGATTTTATAGTAGCAATAAACAAAAAATATCATTCCATGCATCGAAAACACAGTCATACAGACTTAAGGCTAAGGTGTGATGATAAAAGAAGAGAATAAAATGGAAAGTATGAAGGTCAAACATATCCAGCTTTGTTCTGTCTTTTTACAAATAGTTACAAAATAATACTAGCTTCATACTAGCAGCACCTCTTTAAAAGGTTTCAAATAATCGGCTTTGACAGCAACATCTACTGGATTTTACTCATGTTCCAATGACTTGTTAAAGTGAATGAAGAGAGACAAAAAAAAAAAAAAAAAAATTCCCCATGCGGTTCCTACCTAGAAATGCTGCCATGTTCATGACTTGGCTAAATACACAGCTTGCAGGGGGTGCATCACCTGCAATACTTCAAAAATATAAAGTGTATCATTGTAACTCTACTAAGACAGCTAAAGAGAGAAAGAAAGAAAGAACACCCATCGATCAGAATGATAGGTGGGGAATGGGAGGGGGGAGGAGATCCAGTTACCTTATGTAAGGGGGACTTTTGGAACCAGGTTTCCTAAGTGACATAAAAACACAGGAGCCAGAATTAAAGATTTTGCTGTTTTGTGTCTGTAATAATATTTGTTAGAAGTTACTGATTTAAAAACAAAACAACAACCACCACCACCTCTTACCGATCTGGCACGTTTAATGGAATAATTTTGTTATCTTCCACAGCTATAAAATATCTGTCAAAAGAGGAAAGAAGCAGTTTAGAAAACACAAACAATGCCAATATAAGACCAAGACAACCATGTTTTTTAATTTAGAAATTCATTTGGGACCCAATTCAGGAAAGCACTTTTAAGTGTCTAATATCCATTCATATTCAAGAAAGCATTCAAACATGGGCTTAATTTTAAGTATGTGCTAAAATCGCATTGAAATCAGTCATACTTACTTAGCTTTAAGCATGTGCTGAAGTGCTTCTATGGATTTGGGCCTTGATTAGTAATGATAATCAAAGCCCCTTGTTTTCCTGAAAGCAATTCTTTTCTACCACAGACTACAACACTGTTTGCTACCAGCTGACACTACTGATATCAATGCTCAAGCTATTGTATAAAGAAAAATATGGCTGTTCAGTCTTTGTCTTCTGCTTCTGCAGCAGAGAGCCATTAATGGGAGGAAGCATGGAAGCAGTCTAGAGGCCACCTTTGGGGATAGGTTTTGTACCTTTTGGTCACATAGATAATATAATGTAATTGAAATGCAAACAGGCAGTACCATTGTGGGTACTGTGACCAGATAACTAAGGTTCCCGTCCATCTAATTATAGGATAATTGCCATTTAGCCTTATTTTATTTCTATAGTGTTGATGGCTTGTAATTTAAAGATCACCTTAAGGCAAGAGTTCTTATAATGACCACCTGCCCCACTGAATGATATCCCCTCAATGTACTGTATCCTGTATAAGCCACTTTCCACCTTTCAAAGTAGCTCTTCTCTCTTTTTTTACATCCAGGGTGAAATCCTGGCCCCACTGAAGTTAATGGGAGTTGTCACTGACTTCAATGGAGAGAGAATTCTACCTCAGATGTTTTCCACATGCTGCAGTAATACAAGTGCGAGATGTGGGAGAGCTGATAAGAGACGAGCCCTTATTTTCTGACTCCAGTCATCTGACATGGGGCAGGATTAAAAAGGTTAATTCCCTGTCACGTGATAGAGGTCAGGATCCAACGGATACTGTTACAACTGCGACCACAACGTACATACTCGTCAGTCAGGATATCATTAACGCATGGTTCCCGAACCGTGGCCAACAGTGAATTCCTGCAGGTCTGTGGAGAGCTGGTCGCTTCTCCTCATTTCCAGCTGCTAAATCACATTTTTTAAAAGAAGTTAAGGTACATAATGACTCTCTTAATATTATTTTATTATTATGTGTGAGATGGCCCACACACCTGTACAGGTGAGTTTGGAGCCATAAAATGCCCCTTTACTTCTCTGGGTACATCCCCTGCATTGCAGGCCACACTGCGTGAGGGGAAAGAAGCCGCTCTGGGCTGCTGCTCCCAGTCCCACACAATGAGTGAGGAGTGGATGGGCCAGGGTAGGGGGCGGGTGGCAACTTACCAACACAGAGGAAGAAGGAAGTCGTGCCAGGAAAAGGAGCAAGGGGGAAGCAGGGACCAAAACGTGTCTGCTAGTCATGGGTTGGTCACTGCTCTGCTCCTGGGCAATGCAGCTCCATCCTGCCCCTTGCTGAAGGCAGATCACCAGCTGCCAATCCAGCCCGATGAAAGCAGTTGCTGGAGTTGCCTCAGTGGGTGCAGAGAGGTCAGTGAGCAATGCTCTCTATTCAGATGTGGTCCGTTCTATTGCAATATTTGGGAAAGCCTGATTTACCTCAGTCCCCCCCCCACACACATACCCCAAAACCCAAGCGGAAGATCACTTACACGATCCATAGCCCAGATGAAGTGAACAGGGTGAACACAAGAGGTAAAAACATCCACACGCTGCATTTCTTCCCATCCATGCCTGCTAGAAACAAAGACAATAAAGTGTAATGCAAAACAAAGACAACAGAGGTAAGAGCTACTGGAGACATCATGTCCTTCCCCCCTCGAACACGTAAAATAAGTCTGACTAGGGTATGTGAAATTGAGAACCTGGTAATTCAGAATGATCACTATTGCTCCTGGCTCATGCAGAGTGATCCTGGTACTCCAGGAGAAACCCCCCTGCAATTCAGGGAGAGCACTTGTGCAGTAAGGGACTATTCAATGCATGGAAGGGTCACAGATTCCGGCCCTGATGACCGTCAGCCCAGGAATGAAAAGCAGTCTATAATCCTTGTTAAAATATTAGTTACATTTCCCCAGGCCCCCGTAGGGTAGGTATTATTTTCATTCTGCAAAAAGGAGAAACTGAGGCACAGAAAAATCACATCGGAGGGAGATTTTCAAATAGGAATTTAGTAGCAGGCATTTTTTAACGCCTCTCCCTGAGTGATCAGCCCAAGAATACACTGCTGGGATAGAGCCCAACAGCGCCAGCTCCCAGTTCTCTGCTCTAACCAGTAGGCCACACTCTCCCTTAAAAATGGCAACCTAGCTTCCCATCAAAACATGCTTGTTACTAAAACCCACATGTGCTTTCTTAGTGATGCCCACAGCTCAAATAAAGATTGCCAAGCCAGAGAACTTCCCCCAAATAATTCCTGGTGAGTGAGTGATCTTTCTCCCCACCTCCCTAGTTCTCATCCTCAGCTCACACACTGTGCGCAGCAACCAACTAATCTGAGCACTCGGCTGAATTCAAAGGTTCTGCGTTCAAGTGCTGCCATCCTGAATGTCGTTGAGACTAGGAATTGTTAAGAAACTGAATTCTTGACATTTAGGTTTAAAGAAGCTATACGTGGGTGCGCAGATTCTTAATAAATTAAAACAGGCAGAACAGCTCAATTCCACAGGGAAACACTCTCCGGAGGAAAACATGCAAGATGAAGACTTGAAATAACAGGACAGGAATGGGGGCTTGCTATTGCTCCAATATATGTCATTTAGAAATGCTAATATATGTCACAAAGCTCTTGAAATATGTACATACTCATTGTGTGTGTGTGTGTGTGTGTGTGTAGTTGTCTATTACATGCACATTTCCTTCAAGCTTGAATAAAGACTAAGAGATACAAATTGGAAAAAACAAGGCTAAAACATCAACTTTCCTTTCAGTAGGATACCAGCACCTCTTTCACTCCCTCCTGTCTTCCCACCACTCACTCACTACCAGTTGTTGAGTTGATATTTCTTTGGAAGACTGAGGATCACCCAGTATCTCAGTGATGATCTGAGGCAGGTTTTAGGATCACTGATTTATTGGCTGAGTTTGCCATCAGCTTGATGGCATTTCTTTGTCTGTCATGTGATAACTTTTGAACATCAAATCCAATCAATTCCAAAATCTCAGAGAACGTCATAGGCATCTGTCATAACTATAAAGGGAATGGTAAGAGCTCTCCTGTGTACAGTACTATAAAATCCCTCCTGGCCAGAGACTCCAAAATCCTTTTACCTGTAAAGGGTTAAGAAGCTCGGGTAACCTGGCTGACACCTGACCCAAAGGACCAATAAGGGGACAAGATACTTTCAAATCTTGGGGGGGGGGAAGGCTTTTGTTTGTGCTCTTTGTTTTGGGGTGTTGTTCGCTCTTGGGACTGAGAGGGACCAGACATCAATCCAGGTTCTCCACATCTTTCTAAACAAGTCTCTCATATTTCAAACTTGTAAGTAAACAGCCAGGCAAGGCGTGTTAGTTTTCCTTTGTTTTCTCAACTTGTAAATGTACCTTTTACTAGAGTGTTTATTTCTGTTTGCTGTACTTTGAACCTGAGGCTAGAGGGGAATCCTCTGAGCTCTTTAAGTTTGATTACCCTGTAAAGTTATTTTCCATACTGATTTTACAGAGATGATTTTTACCTTTTTCTTTAATTAAAAGCCTTCTTTTTAAGAACCTGATTGATTTTTCCTTGTTTTTAGATCCAAGGGGGTTTGGATCTGTATTCACCAGGAGTTGGTGGAAGGAAGGAGGGGGGATGGTTAAT